CACACACACACACACACACACACACACACACACACACACACGCATAAACATCCCGAGGGGCGGAAACCCAACACCCTCCCGGCGCCCGGTGGCCGGCAGGAGAAGCAAGGTCGGTGCAAATCACGGTTTCTGAAACTGGTATACCACCCTTGCCACTCTCATGAAGGGGGAGGGGAAGGGATGACAAAAGGGCGAGGGCAATTCTGTGACGACGTCGGAGGATGGAGGCAACTTAGAACAACGGACCCCCCTTAGCGAACAGGGGGTCCGGCGGAATCGAACCGCCAGATCCACCCTACCCAGCAGGGGGGTCCGGCGGAGTCGGGACGCCGGCGTTCCCTGAACAAGTAAGGGGCCCGGAGGATTCGGAACGCCGGACCCCCCTTAACGAACAGGGGGCCCGGCGGATTCGAAACGCCGGACCCCCTTTCGCTCGCGACGAAGCGGGGGGTCCGGCGGGTCCGGTGCGCCGGGCCGCTTCACTTGTGCAAGGGGGTCCGGCGGAGTGGGGACGCCGGATCCCCTGTGCCGAATAAGGGGTCCGGTGGATTCAAATGCCGGACCCCTCTCTGTTACCCTAGGTCCGGCGGATCCGGAACGTCGGATCCCTTGTTCATTACCGGGGGTCCGGCGGAACGCCGGATCCCCTTGGCGAACAAGGGGTCCAGTGGATTCGGAACGCCGGATCCCCCTTACCCAACAAGGGGTCTGGCGGATCCGGAACGCCGGACCCCCCTTGATGAACAAGGGGTCCGGCAGATTCAAAACCCCGGATCCCCCTTGGCGAACAAGGGGTTCCGCGGATCCAGAACGCCGGACCCCCCTTGCCGAACAAGGGGTCCGGCGGATCCGGAACGGATTCCCCTTGCCGAACAAGGGGTCCGGCAGATTCGGCACGCCGGATCTCCCTTATGGGAAGCGGGTCCGGTGGATTCGGACCGCCGGATCCCCCTTGCCGAACAAGGGGTGTGGCGGATTCGGAACGCCGGATCCCCCTTGCCGAACAAGGGGTCCGGTGGCTTCGGAACGTCAGATCCCCCTTGCCGAACAAGGGGTCCGGCGGATCCGGGACGCCGCACCCCCCTTAGCAAACAAGGGGTCCGGTGGATCCGGAACGCCGGACCCCTTTTCGCTCGGGAAGGGGGGTCCGTCGGGCCCCTTCGCTTGTACAGGGGGGCCGGTGGATTCAGAACATCAGATCCACCCTGCCCAGCAGGGGGTCCCGAGGATTCGGGATGCCGGATCCCCCGTAATGAATAAGGGGTCCGGCGGATTCTGAACGCCGGACCCCCCTTAACGAACACGGGGTCCGGCGGATTCGGAACGCCGGGTCCGCCCTAACGA